TAATTTTTGGACAAGAAACATTAATGAGAAATTGACATTGGGTTTTTTTTGTAGTTGTATTCTTAGTTGAATTCGATTCATATTATCACCATGATCACATAAAAGGTTCTACATCAGATAAGATTATCTTCTCGTGTAATGCGACTTTTGATGATACGAAATCCTTGTCTTTTTGCCCATTCATTGAGGAAAAGTTCACATGATTCCCATGTAAAAAAAGTTTTTCCAGAAACCAATAATAATGCTTCAGTCTCATCATGATTTATTATATCAGTAGAGTTCTATTCTGATTCTAATAATATAAAAAATCTTTAATATTGCATATTTTACCACATCAATAAATCCATCCATTCCTGAATTTTCTAATTTTAATTGCTAAATAACTAACCCTAATCATAAATCTAAACGTTTATACTTCGTATCGGTGGCTTAATTCAATTCAAATGACAATATTTACCTGTCTCACGAACAGAGTTTAAAAAATAGTTGATATTAAAAAAAGTTTCATCTTCTAGTATTTCGTACATATAATAATAATGTAGAGGTAGGCAAGACGCAAACAAAAAATATACTAAAAAATAATTTATTGATACTTATAAAGTAATGTAAATTTTGCTGGTAAAAGTAAAAAAAAAACTTTCTAAGATAGTGCAACAACAAAATACCAATAGTAACGAAAACGAATGTGCTAAAAAAGGAATATAAAATATTTGGCATTCGTTTGAGAAAAAAAAATTCAAATGTATGATTAACGAACGCTAGTGAAAATAATTTACGGCATAATTTAATCACATAATTAATGATTAATCACATGACATCGAGATACTGGCATAGTATCACATGTGCGAAAAATTATAAAATTCTTTATTTAAAATTAAATACAAAATAATAAATGATTCATTTATAATTAAAAAAATTTAGAATATAAAAAAAATAAATTAATTTATAAACCTAAGAAATATATTATAAAATAAATATTGATTACTTATTTATAATTTATTAATACATATAGGGATAAGTTAGTCCTGGTAAAACCAGTCTACAAATCAGTTAATGAACTGGTTCACATGGTTTTCAGTCTATAATCTAAAAATTGATCTGAAGCAGTTTATATTATAAATATTTCATCCAATAATAATGTGACAAATTTTGAGTGTAATTTTTACATAATAGTATAATTAAACTTATCATTTTGATACTTTTATTTTGATGTATTGTGTGAACTTTTTTTTAAAAAAAGCTATTTTCGTTGAGAACCCATCTTTTTTTTAAAAATAATACAAATAATTTATACATATTATATGCTTGCCTGCCTCATAATTATTTTTAAAAAATGGATAATGAGTTTGAATATGACTTGGACTTAAATGACATTTCACCTGATAAATCCACAAATACAATCTGTTCTTTAAGTAAAATTAGTAAAGGATTAGTGATTCAGTAATACAACCTTATTAAATAGCCAAGTTGAACTAAAATTAAGTTCAACAGTATAGAATTCTTTTGATAAAAACACTGTAGAGCATCCTGAAGTTCCAGTATGTTAAAATTGCAAAGCAGTTTTTGAATCTAGCTCTTCTATATCATCTTTAAGATGCTATTTAAATTCTCACCAAATTGTTATACTAAAACGACAAAGATTTATTACTGAATATAGAATCGATCCACATATAACAAGAGATCAACAAGAGCAAGATGATACAATAATAAAATGGATTATATATGATCAGCAACCATTTACAGTTGTTGAATATTCTAAGTAACATGAAATGATTTTAAAGTTTGATCAACAATACCATTTCCATAATCGATAAACAATAAAAGATCAAATCATTTCTTTATTTGAAAAAAAAATTGATATTAAAGAATTAATTATTAAAATTCCTGAAAAAATATCTTTTACATCTGATATGTAGACTGCATCAAATAGTCATACTGTTTTAAGTTTAATAATCCATTATATTGATATTAATTGGCAATTAAAAATTTTTATTTTAGACATTATACTTTTTTTAATTCGTCATATTGGAATTAATATGGCTGATGCAATTATGAATGTACTTTATGAAAATAAGTTAGTTGAAATGAAAAGCATTAGCTTTAATAACAGATAATGCATCTGCTATGATTGTTTATAATAATAATGTATCAGATAAACTTGAATTAGAATTTAACAACCTTGACTTTGCTCATTATCAGTGTACTGCTCATGTATTAAATCTTGCTATTACTTAAGGAATTGAATTGATTGATAATTCAGCTATTAAAATACGAAACTTAATGTCTTATATTAAAGCCTCCTCTTCTGTTAATAACACATTAAAAGCATTATGTAATGTTAAAAATCTTAAATATTTAACACCAGAATTAGATACTAAGACTAGATGGAATTCCACTTATTATATGTTAAATAAATGGAAAAAAATGGAACCTGCTTTAAATTTACTAGCTGCAGATGATAGAAATGTTCAACAAAGATATCTAATAGATTTTGATCATTATAATATTAATTTAAGTATTAAAAATAATTTTTATATTTATTTTTAGATTATATAGTATTTAATATTTAATATTTATATTATAAAAGGATACAATAGTTTTACTTGAACCAAACTTGTTTTCTTTCAGCATCTAGTTATCCAACTTATGGTGATATTTGATTTGTATTTCTTGGTATTCAAGAATATCTTATGAGTTATATGAATAAGAAGGAATTTTCTCAAAATTTAATGGCTAATTCTATTTATCAAAAAATCAATGAATATTGGTTAATAATGAGCTCCGCCTTCCAAATTTAAGCTGTTTTAGATCTACGAATAAAACTATCTGGTTTTTCAAAAGATAAAATGTTATTACAATTTTAATTAATAATTTGTCTGGATATATTTCTCCATTATTACAATCTGAAATATCAACAACAATGGTTAGAAATGAGTTATCAAATATTCGAGAATTTTTTAAAAGATTGTGTAATCCAATGAGTTCTTTGACAATTCAACTATGATCTCATCATCATCTAATATTGCTAGTGATTTTGAAAAATATCTTTTGTATGGTTTGAAGGATAATATAGATCCATTATTATGGTGGAAAATGCAAATAAATGAATATCCTTTTTTAAGTCAAATAGCATAGGATTACTCATCTATTCAAGCAACTAGTGTTGCTTCTGAACAAGCGTTTTCAGTAGCTAGGTATACTTTAATTGCAGTTAGAAACAGATTACATGCATAAACAGCTAGGGCAACCTTGTATTTAAAAAGTTGGATCCGAAATTTTAATATTTGAATTTATTAGTTTTAAATATATAACTGGAATATGTATTGTTTCTAGTTTTAAATTTTTATTTTGTGTAAATAAATTTTTTAATTTTTTTAAATATAAACGATATATACAGTATATAAACCGGTTCTGGACTGATGGTTAGACCGGTCATGTAAACTGATTTTATAAATCAGTTTGGTCCATCCACAGTTTTAAAGACCAGTTTTCAGGACCGCGGACGGACTTACACATCCCTAAATACCTTTAACATAATATAACATTTTAAATTAATTAGTTGAGAATTTTTTTTATAAATACAATTTCTTTGGCAGCAATTTATTTTGATAAATTTAATGCTAATATTAGTAGAAATAATTAATTACAGCCAAATGATCAAATATCACAAAAGCAAATAAATAATAATTAAATATCTCAAATATGAAAAATTAATTATTGCAAAATGAATGTTTTGAAGCTTTAACTTTAATTTTTTTTATACATATCTAACTTGGTTGATGTTATTAATTACAAAAGCATATAGAAAGATAAATTTCAAAAGAAAGTTATATTGTAATCAAACGAGTAAAGTGTTTTCAAATAGTCTTCAAAGACGTTAATGATCTTATCAATATCTAACTTTCTGATACGCCAGTCAAATTGAGATAATATAAATAATTCTGAAAAGATAAATTTACGAAGTGTATCTAAAAAGGTACAAAATTCTTGACGTGCATATTTAAGTTAATGATTAGGCTTAACAATTGAACGGAGCTTGAAGTCTACAATATCTTGAAGATTATTCAATTTTTTCCAAACTATTATGCTATTACAAGCTATATATATAAGCGTAAAGTAAAGTGCTTCAAGATCATCTTCAATAGTATATGATATGCTTTTACTTTATGCCGGCTGTTCTGTAACCTAAAAAGCAAGATAATATAAGTGATACACATACAATTTTCATAATTATAAAGATAATATAGTATCTTTATGGAAGAAAAAAGCAAGGTTGCAGTCAAAGTTGTATTTGTAATATCAGAAATATTTGACGCAACTCCCTAGTCAATAAGATATCCATTATTTTGGAATAAGATTATATTTCCAAAGAAGATATCACGATGCAAAATTTTCAAGTCATATGCAAATTTAATAGCTTTGGTAATATTTCAAAAAGCCATAAGAATCATTTTTAATCCATGTTTTTCAACTTCAAGATATTCACCAAAAGGTCGGATTACTATAAATCTATATAAATAAAAAGCTATGAAAAAATATATCATTAATTGCTTCAATAAAAAAACTCTAAATTTGACATACTTTTCTCTATTTGTTAAAGTTCTGTATAGATTTTCAATAATCTTAGGTATAAATTCATAACCAGAAAGCTTTTAAAGCATTTTAATCTCATGATCAGAATTTGAAGCCTTTAACTGGTTCGCTATTTACTTCTCCAGCAAGAACAAATGATATTTGTTAATTGGATATATCAGACGTCTGTCGAAGAATAAAATGGTATGCGAAACCTTGGATGATTTTTATCATATCCTTATAAGTACCAGGATGTTGATAGTCTAACACACAATTTGACACAGTTACCAAATTCACTAACATATGAAGTCCTACGTCTTCTTTAAGAGACAATTTGCCTGATCAAATAATATCTCCATTCTTTTTTGCATCATGATCTCAACAATTGATACTCTGCAAACGGTCCTAATAACATATTTCCTATCTGTTTATTGATCAAAAATCCCTGAAAATCTCTCATTAAGTTGTCTAAGAACCTCATGATATGCATCATCTCTCGATAAGTCAATTTTAAGTTCTAAATATGTAATAATGTGTGGCCACAAGGAATGGCTACCATCGAGAACTGCAACATCAATCTTAATAAGTGGATCTTTAAAGTAGTCCTTGATCAATGTATTCTTAATGAACTAAGGTTTATTTTGAAATTGTTAAAAAAAATTCATAAATCTCTTCTGAACCTCAGTTTCCTTTTCACATGGTTGATAAAACTCATTGGATATAATCAAATCATCAAATTGTATTTTAGAGTTAGAATTTAAAAAGTCGTAAAGAAATTGTTGATTAATTTCTGCAATATTAATTATCAATTTTCCAATATCTCCTGCAGTTGTGATGGTAAATCTCATTTTCTTAATGTTATTCTCAAGCATTAGAATCTTATTATTGAGAAAAATGACTTTTTTGCAGACTTCTTCATCTTCAGCCATTCTTTTTCCAGTAATGATTACTAATTTTTATGATAGGAAATAAAATACAAATCAATGGTGTAGAAGGAAAGCAAATGCGAGAAAAGACATTAATGAACAAATAAAATAGTTGTAACAAATAATAGTTGTAGTATAAAAATAAATTAAATTTAATGATAAAAAATTTCAAGTTAGTCAATAGATAGTGATGAATAAATAAGTTTGTCAGTTAATATTGCAAACAGTATGCCAAATTATTACTTAAACAATTAAATAAATAAACGAAATGTAATAAATGGAAAATAATATTTTGTATATTTTTATACAATTTGTTCATTACCTTCTTCTTTATTTAATTCCTTGTATAAATACTGCTCCTAATCTTCATTCTTCTTCTTCAACTCTTTTTTTTCTATTTCCAGTTTAGCCATCCGCTATATCTTATATTTACTAAGCTTTTCATTTTTCATTTTTATCTTTAACTCTTTCAATCACTTTCTGTCAGTCTCCCCTCTTCGAATTTCTTCAAAGCCAATTCTGCCTTTTTATAGCTTTCTTTTGCAAACTGGAACCGTGCTTCATTTATTTCCATTTTGTAAAAATTTAAAAAATTTCTAAAAAAATTGTTAGACTATTTTTCACAAAAGCTATGTAAACTTAGCCAGTAAAATATAAAAAAAGGTAACTAGATATATATCTAAAAGTGTAACCTTCTATGTATTCTATTATATAAATAATGGCAAAGGGCTAATCTATCACTAGTATGTACCTAGTATGATATGATATCTAGAGTAGCCTTCTACATAATCTATTATATAAATATCTTTTTTAATTAAGACCTTTAAAAGATAGCCTATCTCAATTACCTAACTGCTCAGAACAGGTTTTCTTTTTTCAAACTATAGTGAAAAAAAAGGGATTGATATAGTAATAACCTAAAGTAATCAGATATAGGAGTATTCTATCTAAAGTAACAACTATATGAATTTAAAAAAGCAGAAATGTAAAACAAAGTATAAAAAAGTGATCTATCAAGGTAGAATTATTATAAAAAAAGAAATATAAAATTTTACTTTAATGAGGCATTTTATGATAGGTAGGAAAGAGGTTAGGATTCAATAGGCATGCAAGAAATAATCCAAAAGTAGTAACTATATGAAAAAGAGGGTAAATGAGTGATAGATCTAATCTGATGACTTTTTTTTACAATACTTAATAATCAGAAGCATAGCGGTCATGCTTAATTTTATCACATTTTGCAGATCATTTTGCCGATCATTTTTCATTTATCACATATAATAAACACTGTAAAAATGATTTTTATTTAAGTTAATTAGCTCCGATTGGAAATTCTTACATAATAATATACATTAAAATTTTACTTATAGCTAAACGTTATTACCATGTATTATAATATCAAATTTTATCGATATTGAACTAATATTAGATAACATTTACTAGAGAAAACTGATTGCAATAACATAAAAAAGGTGCTGTAAATAGTATATAGAAAACTTTTGATTTCAAGCGAATTGGGCGGGTTTCATTTTACCTTATAATCCTAAATAG